GGAGTTTGATCCTGACCAGCTCAAGGTCGACTCAGCCTTCCATCTTTCCAAGATCAGTCAAATGAGGACCAAGATTGCTGGAGGCAATGGGCCGACATTGTAAACCAATCAGAGAGCGCCGCAAAGCACTAGAGATGGTATATAAGTCTAAGTGCTGCTGCTATCGCTGCCCTTTCGGTTGCCCGCCTTCCCACTGCCACCAGCTGCCCAATCCTGTGTGCCATCTCACCTGGCTACACTGCACGCCATTATGTGCTGGTGCAGCCGGGGCTTCTCTCACACCCTGCCCAGAGCCATCTTTTGCAAAAAGAAGCCTGGCGGATAAAAGGAGGCCCTGGCCATGCTGGACCTAAAGAAGCCTGGTGTGAACGGAGGCCCAGCTGGTACAGCAGCAGTGCAGTACGTGGTGTGGCAGGTCAGCTGATGACATCGAGCCTAAATGTAAGTGGGCTGGAGTTTGCTCACATGGCCATCACAGGCGTATTGCAATGTCCAGAACTTCAGGAATCAGTCATTGAATAAATGAACGTTAAATAAGAAATGCTTTTTAAATAACCCACCCGCAAACTTTACTCTCCCTTGTACTGAAGATGCTATCTACGCTGGTTAAGAGAAATATACGTAGGAACAATCAAGCTCAGAGTTCAACAAGGACCCAAAGTATCAGCTGCTTAGCTCTAAACAAAATTAGATAACAAAATTATCAAATTGTGCATTTACTGGAGCAAAGCATTCTGCACATTTATTTAAAGTAAAGATATAGCTTCAAAACAGATAATACCAGTAGGCGAAGAAAATTACTGAACTATGCTCAATATAACATTAACAAAAAATAAACTATGCCACACAAAACAGATTGAGTTGTTTTTGTAATATGAAAAAAGTACAAATATTTTGCACTTAATGGAGCAAAGCATTCTGTGCCCATTGATCCCATTATGAGATATACTGATTTACTTGCTATAATTTATATTCAATTCAATTCCACAAGGCTCTAAGGAGCTAAAACACATTCTTAAATATAGGTAGTCCTTGACTTACAATTCATTTAGTGACCGTTTGAATTACAAGGGTGCTGAAAAAAATGACTGATGACTAATTTTCACACTTATGACTGTTGCAGCATCCCCAGGGTCAGGGGATCTAAATTCAGACGCTTGGCCACTGACTCATATTTATGACAGCCGCAGTGTCCCGGGGTCACTGCAACCTTCTGACAAGCAAAGTCAATGGGGAAGCCGGATTCACTTAGCACCTGTGTTACTAACTAAACAACTGCTGTGATTCACTTAACAACTGTGGCAAGAAAGGTTGTAAAATGGTGCAGAATTCATTTAATAACTGTCTCACTAAGGGCAGCAATTTTGGGCTCAATTGTGGTCATAAGTATTGCAGAATATATGCTACCGAACCAAAATTAAGCTTGCATAATTATTTTAGAAGCATTTAAAATTGAATTCACATTATTTGCTGTTAAAAAAAAATCAGCAAGAGCAGTATTGCTTAACAGCGCCAATATATATACATATACATACATTCTGTATGCAGTTTACAGTGAAATCTCAAGAGAGAAAAACAGCCCCATGGATCCCATCCCACAGAGAGTTTTCCTCGGGAGCTTCACCACTGCCTCTCGCTCAGCAGCCCAAGCCCTTCACTCGCCTTTCAGCCAGCTGAGACCACGGGCCTCAAGTGCCAGGCAGCAGGGTTGGGGGGGGGGGCTCCAGGCGGTCTTGAGGCTGCTCTCCCGTTTCTCAGAACCGGAAACTTTTGCCCTAAAAGCATCAAGTCAAGGGGCAGCAAAAGACATCCTGTCACTAATGTTTTGGCTCTTTAAGCTTCACACATTGCGCACAAATCAAAATGGAGCAACTTAAACAGGCTCAATTCACGGGTGAATTGGATTCAGTGAGGCTCACCAGCTCAGACGCAATAACCCAGAAATCACAAAGTACTGTTATCACATAAAGCTGAGCTTTCAGGATCTGAACAATCACGCAACTTGGGCACGCACCTTTAGTGCCAATCCAGAGCTGATCTTGTTCAAGTTTAAAGGTTAGCCGTACTTTTCCACCTGACTTGTTGTACATGCCCGATAAAGGAACGGTTGGCAGGCGCTCCTAAAGAGGTTGAGACACAAGCTTTCTATGAACAAAGTAACTTACAGTACAACTTACATACGAAGAATGATTGTAAGATTTGGGTTTGGCTATTCTAGAGAAAAGAAGGACTAAGGGTGACATGACAGCAGTTTTCCAGTAAAAGAAAAATTATCAGTGAAAGAATTAATCATATTTAATAAACATAGAAAAATATATAACTTGTTGTGTAAATTAAATAATGTATTATATAGTACTGGACATTGAGGCAAAAGCAATATAAGGCAGAAATTTGCCCAGATAAGTGCAAAGAAGAGCAAGTAAGATGATTAAAGGCTTGGAGACTAAAGCATATGTAGAACGCTGCAGGATTTGGGAATGGCCAGTCTAGAAAAAAGAAGGACTAGGGGGGACATGATAGCAGGGCTCCAGTATTTGAGAGGATGCCACAAGGAGGACGGGGGTCAATTTACTTTCCAAAGCACCAGAAGGCAAAACAAGAAACAATGGATGGAAGCCTATCAAGGAGAGAAGCAACCTGGAATTAAGGAGAAACTTCCTAACAGCGAGGACAATTAACCAGGGGAACTGCTTGCCTTCAGACATTGTGGGTGCTCCATCACTGGAGGTTTTTAAGAAGAGACTGGACAGTCACTTGTCTGAAATGGTATAGGATCTACTGCTTGAGCAGGGGGTTGGACTAGAAGACCTCCAAGGTCCCTTCTGGCTCTATTCTGATTCACTGATTGAAGGAGAAACACTATATTCTCTTTACTGCCTCTCAGTAAGAACAGAACAGCTAGAATTGCCAACCCCTGACCCTTCGATTCTTGTTTCTTACCTGGACACCCTTGACAGAAGGCATCACATCTTCAGGCTTCCCTTTATCCAAGACTTTCCTATGTTGCTGTAAAGCAGAAATAAAAATTAACCAACAAATGATAGAAGCCTTGCAGGATTTCCATTGTGCTTACTTGACAGCATATTAATGAGAAATCTAAAAATTCTAAGATGCGCAACCTTCAGTCAGAAAATGCACCCTATAAATAAGGTGCAAGCAGATACTAATTAAAAGACACCGAAGAGTTCTTATCATATCAGCATTTCTTCCTTGTGGAGCAGAATTCATGTTTTCTCAACAAATAATCTGGCTGAAGTTACACAGAAAATCTAGATGGTACAGGCAACTTTTTTAAATTCAAAGGTTGAGTTGAAGGAATGTGTTCTTACTTCGGCCAATATATATTTCTCTATGTGCTCACAGAGCTGGAGGCTGCAAACCAGGCTGCAACCTCTACTTTCAAAATTCTGCAACTTGTTGCACTGCACAACAATCTTGGTGCAGGTGGTGCTCACAGAACCTCTGAATGGGGAGACCAAAACATTTGGAACATCTGCCTAAATGCACTCTGGTTTACTGCGGCTACAGAGTTCTCTCATTATAGGATCAAGGTGGTTGGATTTGCAGAAAAAAACAAAAACCAGCCTTTGAATGTTGGTGGTAAGAACTGCTAAACCCAGTCACAAGAACAGCAAGTGGGAAGGAGGTAATACCAAGAGATGATAAATCATGGGAAATATTAGCAGCATCAGCATTGACAAAAATCCAAGGCAATAAGAGGAGCCAAAAAAAAAAAAGTAGAGCAGCTATAAATAATTTATGGTGAACCAACCAAAGGTTTTGGAAAGGTTAAAATAGTCTGCCTGTGCATGCTCAATTGCTTAATAGTTAAAAAATAAAACCTTGTCTACCACCAGTAAACAAGTCAGTGAGATGGCAAGAAAATAACAGCAAGGGGGAAAAAGATAGGGTTACAAGAAAATACTTTATCTGGGAAACAGGCTGTTTTACTCATTGCTGGTAAAATTAGCTGGCAGAATTTCAGAAAAATAATGTTGCCCTACCCTATTGGAATATGGAGGACAAATCTCCCGACACCTTCTACATATGAAGAATGAGGCATAAGTTCACAGTCTAATAAATGTCAGAACCACAGACTGAAAACATCTCATGCCAGCTGGACAACTCAAAAAGGTGAGTTGGTGACCAAAAAGCATTACTGAATTAGATTTACCAATCTGGGGATTCTCTACAAGTTAAAATTAAGTGCCTGTCCATGACAATGCTGGTAGGCAATAAATTGATTGCTAAGGATTGCTTCCACCCATCTTAAAACTGAAGTGTTGATGGAAAAGAAGGACCATCACAATACAAAGCTTCAGCTTAACAAAATATAAAGAACCCTTTTCCCCGCAGACCTCCGGTTCAATAGAGTTTACCTTTTCTGGAAAGTTAAAAGCAGGTTCAAACCCATCCATGCCAGCTGGTGGCTCCAACTGACCTTTTGTCTACAGAGGGGCTCTTTTTTGGCCTCTTCGGACTTCACTTCCTGCTGAGTGGCATCTTTTGGTGTGTTTACTGCCAAGACATCATTGATAGTCGAGCCCACCACCATTATTTTTGCTCCACTGATGACTTTAATTTCTCGTAGGGTTTTTTCCTCCGGGAGCAGTCCTTTAAACATGACCTTCTGCATGGCGGGGGGAAGGCCTGCCAGAGAGGAAACCGAGAGGGAGGCTTAGCACAGGAGTCTTCCCGGGTCTCAGGCCGAGCTCCTTCTCCAGGGAACAAGAGGCGGCTTCTCACCTGTCAGCGAGTGGATTTTCAGCTTCAGCTCCGCTCCGGTGCTGTCCAGAGGGAGCTTTAGGTCGTACTTGGTTTTGTTCCAGATAATTTTCAGCTCCACCAACTCCTTTTCCATCTCGGCTTCGCCCCCGTTGCTCACGGAGGCCTCCAGGTCGGGGGGGTCGCTCTGGGGCTCCTCGGCTTTCTCGGCAGAGAGCGAGCCGTTCTCGTCTTCGCCTTGGCAGCCCACCGGCGGGTTCCGCACTTCCGCGTCCATGCTGGCTTCCTCCGAGTCTGCGAAAAGGCAAGGCAAACGGGGATAGACCCGCGACCCAGGCGGCACCTGCGCGGGCCCGGCCTCGCCC